TCGAGTTCTGGTACGACCCCCCTGCTTCCGATGCTAACGTCGCTCCCTTGCCCTTTCTCCGTTTCTAAAGTTTTGACTATGCAGTTTCAAGGTAAACCGACCCCTCCATCCTCATCGACAGTGGGAGCAGGCCTTCAGCCCTTTTGAGTGCAGGTTTTGCTCGTCGTGGGTTTGGTACAGCGTTATTTTTTTGCGGAATATATTCCGAATTCGGAATAAAAAAATGTTCGTGGTCCTGAAAGTTAAGAATAAATAATGTTCCAACCGTACAAGTTCATTCCTCCAGCCAAAAATGGACTGTCCATGCCAAAGCCGCTAGAATTTTACAGGAGACATATATGTTACCCATATCATAGTACTTTAATGCCATGGATACTGTTAGGAAGCTCACGCCCGAAAGTCAACGAGGAATCGGACTGTTTCTGACCGGACCAAACGCTGCAAAACATTCGGAACCGAAGCTCCCAAAGCATTGAAGGCCATTAAAGCAGATATTAAATTTCACTGAAGCCATTAGCGACGTTAATGAAGACGGTGTAGGGGTCGTAGGCAATGTGGACGCAATGCTGCAGCCAGCCGACGACAATGACGCCACTCCGGTTGTCAACAGCGAGCGGGCCAAACATCAATGTTCCTCATATGGATACAATCGCGATGGGCCAGGAAAGAGGTTGCGTTTGGTGGTTCCGGTTCATTGCTGCTATGCATCATTACTTCTGCAACCTGGAAAGTCGTGTAGTGTTATCTTTCAACGTGATGCAAGACGAACGATGATGAACGAACTCTATTCGATCAGTGCTTGAGAGATTGGTGTGCGCGTGTTGCGACATTCCCCAAACCCGGCGATTGCACGAACTAAACTGTAACTCATCGGGGGGGGGGGGCGCCTTACAGATTCGGAATACCTATATTCCCGCGACTAAAAACCTATTCCTACGTTCGGACTGGAAAATTAACCGGCAGAAATGAAAAAAAAAACACTGCCGACGACCCACGGCACCCGATCAGGCGGTCCTAGTGCCCCTAACCCTGTCGGGTCCCCCGACGGGAGCCCTCCGGGCCCCGTCGGGGGCTCCCGATGGCCGTTTGGCATTTTCCCCCTTTTTCGTCGGGTCCGCCCGAAAGCATTTTTCAAAGCCTGTCGGGATTTTCAGCACAAGTGCCATTCCTGTCAGGACCCGATCGGACTGTCGCACCCTGCTGTACGCTGTGCGCGATGGTTCCGAAGGAAGGCCCTCCCAAAATTTAAATTTACTGTTGTTGCTGAGCTGAATTGAATTGAGTTCCCACCACACAGTTGTTTTGGCTGTAGTGGCTGTGGACGACAACTCTCATGCAAATGGCGTCCTCACCGGGTTACCGTACTCTGACGTTTCGGCCGGGGTGTGTATGTGGTGTGTACGTGAAAGTGCCTTGCAAGGCCAACTCGGGCCGTCGTTCCAACGAGTTGTATAATTCGCAGTTTGACACATGCTAAATATTAAATAGAAGCACCGAACCGATGCACCCACCATCGCGATTTGCCCATGACCGCCTAACAACTGCCGGTCAACATTATTTTACGCTTCACGATGATGATTGGATGATATCATCGCGGCTCGGAAGAATCATTAAAACACACACACGCACGCCAGGCTGTATACGCAAAATCAAAAGCCCCAACCGCAGAACGTTTTCTCCAACCCACAAATGCCACCAGTAGCACTACCGCCGCTACCGCCAGCCGCAGCACAGGCCAGCGTGCTGATTGGCTTTCAAGCGCACAATCACACACATGCATACGTATGACCCGCACCGCACCCTATATGCCACTCATATGCCATGAAGCACCACCAGTACTACCACCACCACCACCACCACCACGATCTATCTTCCTCTGGCAGCGCACAGCCTTCTCGGCCCCCTCAGGGCCCTAGGTTGGGTGGTACCCCCCCCTCACCTCATGGCTCCCAGGTATGTATGTATGTACGGGCCACACACACACCCCAGGTTACACCTTTGGAGGGTATAACGCAACTCTAGGAAGTGTAAGGAACACGCACGCACATACACACATACACACGCATGCACACATGCACGCACACACATCACCATGTTCACCAACCAACTCCCACACCAGCATTCGTTCACACACACCATGTAGTCTCCGATCATGCGTGAATAAGCCAGTTCCATTGCCGCCTCCGCGTACCCCATACCCACACCATCCGAGACCCCCCACATCCCCCTTTCAGCCTCATTCAGCCCCCCATCCTGAGTGTACGGCACTTGTGCCGGCGACAACACACAATGCGACAACGGCACCTCCGCTCTGGCATTGCGCGACGTTGAGCAACGTCGCACCGGGGGCCACCACCGCCACCACACACACCGCCCAGCCACAGCCACAGCCACAGCCACAGATGGAAAGGTATAACCAACAGCCTGCCGCTCTCACTCCAAAGAACAACTCCCAGAAATCTATATTCAAACGATTTCATTCATTATATTTTATATAATTTATATTTTCTTCCTCGTACATCGTTTCCATCCTTGTATATAAGCTTCTGTCCGTTGCCGGATAATAATAATAAAAACCAACCTCTGCAACCATTAATTTACAGCTCCCCGCCACCTGTAAACTCCGTCCCGAGCGGAGCGACGAGCCGATCAACACCTTTTCCTCGAAGTGTGAAGATTCCAGAGAGATTCGTTGCTTTTACGGCAGTGCCGTACCGTACACGTCACCACATCAAACATGCTGCGTGATTCCTGATTGCTGGATCTGGACCTGAATCTGGAATCTACGTAGCCTGACTCACCTTTTTGAGTTTTAAACACACATCGCCTGGATCTGGATTTCGATCTGGAACTGAATCCTGCCAGGACGCACCCGTACACAATCTTTGCCTGTCTTCCCCGCCCATCTCCGCCCGTCGGCGCGCAGATTTATACCACAGATAAACTACTGTTCACATAATCTCTATATATAGTATAGCCGTTTTGGTGATGTGTATGTCATTGTACGTCGTCGGCGGCGCCAGATGGCCCCCTAGATTTTCGTTCCGTCGTATGTCTGTCTGTCTGTCTGTCTGTCTTACGCACTGCTGGCCCCGGCTCCGTGACCTTGCGTCGACGGCAGCATACTTGACCCCGTGAAGGAGTCCCCTGCTGCCCCTGTCGCTAGAGAGCCCAGCTCTGGAGGGGGAGGAGGAGGGGGAGGAGCGGGAGGCGGCGGAGGACCAGGACCAGGAGCAGGAGCACGTTGCAAGACCGGACTGATGAGAGCCGCCGGCATGCGCTGCGCCGGATGCGGTGGCGGCGGCGGCGGCGGTGGCAACATCAACGGTGATGACGGCGGCGTCGCCACCGGCACTGCCGTCGCGACGGCGGCCATGAGGCGCTCCAGGTGCGCCTCCACAAGGATCGCTGGCGGCCTGTTTTGGGGCTGACGTTGCAAGCAATGAAGCGCCACTGCCCGGTAGGTCTCCGGGCACGAGGGTGGGAAGGCGGGGAAGATGCTGCTATACCGGGGGCCTTGGTCGGTGCGGATGCCGGCGCGGCGGCCGTGGTAGAGCTCCCATAGCATCACACCCAGCGAGAACACTTGGGTGGTTGCATGTATGTATGTGTGTGTGGGGGGGGGAGGTAGGGGTATAGCGGTGTAGTGATGTAGACGACGACAAGCGGGACGGGGGAAAGGGGGGAGGGGAGGGGGAGGGGGAAGGAAGCCGGTCAGGGAGCGGCAGAGAGAGAGAGAGAGAGAGAGAGAAAGGTAAGGGGAAGGGGAAGGGGAAAATCGGAAATGGGAGAGCAGCTGGATTAGAATGGCACCTGGATTCGAAACGGCGACTTCAGACAATGACGGACCGACAGCAGCAATCTTCATGTGAACACTGCTGCTGCTGCTGCTGCTGCCTGTTCGGCCCACTACTCTGCTACGGCTGCCCAACGTTTCCAACCACCCACTCACCGTCTGATGGCGGCCCGACTTGCCCCTGAAGATGGTGGTGGCGGTGGGGCGGGTGGTGATGGTGCGTCCAACAGCGGCCCCAGCAAAGCCAAGTTATCAAGCGCAGGGGGAAAAAAGAGGGAGAGTATCCTCACGAATGGGAGAGAAGACAAAAAATAAAATTAGAAAGTAGGACCTTAAATTAAATCAAACGCGTACGGTCTTACGAACGAAACTCTATAGACCCGGTGTCCGATTTTTATTAGTTTCAATATTACATAGAAAAGAGGACGGCAGGGGACGGGACGAAGAAGGGACCGCAATTCAACGCGCAAATTAAGAATCGGCTGCCAAAGTCCTAAAGCGACGTCGGGAGTGTTGTACGTATGAGCGTTTGCATGTGTGTGTATGTACGTATGTATGCGTGACGGCAAAGGCCACAAGCTGCAGGGAAAAGTAAAGACGAGCAACCCCGTAGATTACCCCTTCAACTGTAATAATACTTCCAGACAGTCGTTGTGCTGTGCTGTGCTGTGCGTGCATGCAATCATACGTGCATTCATGCATTCCTTCATGCACATGTACTTTTTGATAATAAATATGGAAGAGTTGACTGTGAGATTGCCGCGTCTGTAAAAATGGTCCTGTTGTCGTACCCTGTCGTACCTTCATGACTAGTGCAGGGCACATGTAAAACATGGTGCCCATGCGCAAGTTGCTCAGGTGGGTTCGATTCTGAGGCAGCATTACACTGCGGTGTGGTGAGTGGGGGGTGGGGAGAGGCAAGGGGGTGGGAGGGGGGTTTTGGGCGGGCGGGCAACCAGACATAGAAATGCTGTAAAAGCTTATTTATATATAAAACATAACCAAAACCACCAAATAAAACAAAGCAATATTTTTC